GGGAGGAGTGATAGGGAATGGCAAAGGACACACTGACAAAGAAGATTAATCAGAACTGGCTTTGACAAGCACTGTGGCATTTGGAGAAGAACAAACTGGGAGGAGGGTAGAGAGAATAGTGCAACAATGAGCGAATGGAAACCCAAAATCTCTGTAAATGTTTATGAAAATTAATAAAATATAGGGAAAAAAAAACAAAACCCAAAACAATTGTCCAGCTCTCAGATGCCCAGCTACTGACTGAAAAAGAACATGACCTGAATCAGGTGCACCTTAGTCTTCAAATTGACATCCTTATTCCTTCTCAATTATATATTTTTTTAAATTTCTCTCTTCCCCTTCTCACAAGATACTATTTATTTGGAAGTTAGTAATTATCTTGGAAAGTAGAAAAACGATGATACTTATATAGTGCTTACTATGGGTCAGGGACTATTCAAATACCATTTAATTATTTTTTAAAATTTTAATTTTATATTGGTCTATTTATAAAGTTCGTATACATTGTTTTTCACACTGGATCTTTCCCATTTTCTTCACTCCTGCCACCAAATTGTGTGATTCTATAATTAACTCCCCACTCCAAGCCCATTCTCAACCCTCTGGTCCCAGCCTTCTCCCCCTTGGACCCTCATTCTATCATAGTGGTCTTATACAGTATTTGTCCTTATAGGACTAAGTTCACTTAGCATAATGCTCTCCAGTCTCTCCCAAGTTAGGCAGTGATTTACAAAATTGTTGCTCCTGTGTGTTGTGTGAATGTACTAGTTTCTCAATCCATTCTACTGTCGTTGGACATTTGGGCTGTTTCCATATTCTTGCAATGGTGAATAAGGCTACTATAAACATTGGTGTACAAGTGTCTGTTTGTGCTTCAGTTTTCATTTTCTCGGGGTATGTTCCAAGCATTAGAATACCTGCGTCATAGGGCATTTCTATGTTCAGCTTTCTGAGAAAATGCCAAACTGCCTTCCAGAGTGGTTGTACCATTTTACAATCCTACCAACAGTGCCTAGGAGTTCCTATCTCACCACATCCTCTCCAACATTTATTACCTGATATTCTATTAAACTTTGGCACTGCTACTGGAGTGAGATGATCTCTCTTATTGCCAGTGATTTGGGGCATTTCTTCATGTGTGTGTTGGCCATCTGAATATTTTCCTCTGTGAAAATTCTTTCCGTATCTTTTCCCCATTTCATAATTGTGTTACCAGTCTTTTTCTTGTGGAGGCCCTATAGGATTCTAAACTGTTGATATATGAGACTCTTGTCTGAAATGGTATTGCCAAATGTTTTTTCCCAGTTAATAGGGTTTTGTGTTTTGGTTGGTTGTTTTTTTTTTTTTTTTACTCTGCTGAAAAAAGTTTTTGATGCACAAAGGATTTAATTTTTAGAAGGTCCCATTCATCAATTTTATCCTTTCCAGGGGAGCTCTGGTGGCCTAGTGGCAAGGAACTGTAACTACAATCCCAGAGGCGCACGGTTCAAACCCACCAGATGCTCTGCCTGGGAAGGAGAGACAATCTCCTCCTGTACCAGTCAGATCTGATTTGACGGTACATGCACACAAAAATCTAAAAAATAAATAAATAAAAATTTTATCCTTTCCATATTATTTCTGGCTATATTTGGTACTCTATACCATAGACTAGGCCTTGTCTCTGATGAACATTATGGTTTTGGGCTTTCATTCCAGGTCTCTAATCCGTCTCAAATTGCTTTTTGTGTATGCTGTGAAATGTGGATCCTGTTTCTGCAGGAAGTAGTCTACTTTTCCCAGCACCATTTGAAGAGGTTGTCGTTCTCCATTTGATAGGTTTTATTTCCTTGTCAAATATCAGATGACCATAGATAGATGGGTCCATTTCTGGGTTCTCAATTCTGTTCCACTGGTCCATGTGCCTGTCATTGTATCAGTACCATGATGTTTTGGCTATTACCGCTGTTGTTGTAGATTTTGAGGTCAGGGAGTGCTATGCCTCCCACTTCATTTTCGTTTTTCAGAAGTGCTTTGCTTATAGTAGGGTCTTTTTCCTCCCCAAATAAACTTGACAATTTCCCTTTCAATCTTCTTTAAAAATGAATTTGGTATCTGTATCGGATTGCGTGGAACATACAGACTGCTTTTCGTAGGGTTGTAATTTTTACAATATTGAGTCTTCCTATCCACAAACAGGATGCATTTTTTCATTTAGGTCTTTCATTGTGTCTCGCAGAAATGATCTGTAGTTTTGTTTGTACAGAATTTTTTGTGTCTCTAGTTTCTTTCTGCTGCTGATTATGGACCCAAGTAAGATGAAGCTGTTGGCAATTTCAAACTTTTCTCCATGTATTATGATGTTACCTATCAGCCCAGTGGTGAAGACTTTTGTCTTCTTGATGCCAAGATGTACTCTATATTGAAGGCTGTAGTCTCAGGTGCCACCAAGTTGGCTCTGATTCATAGTAATAATATGCATAAAAGAACAAACCTCCACCTGAACTCGTACCATCTTAAATCTACGCTCTGCTTTACTGTTGCAGTTACTGTGTCAATCCATCCACTTAAGGATCTTCCCTTTTTACACACTCTCCTCACTTCTCCAAGCATGACATCCTTCATCACTAACTGACCCTTCCTTATCAGATGAGATGAGGTCTCCCCATCTCATCTCTAAGCAGCACTATGGGTACATCTCTTCTAAGAGTGATTTGTTTGTTCTTGTGGTTGCTGTTATGTGCCTTTGAGTCAGAACCATCTCATGGCTGACCCTCCAACAGGTCTTCAGCGCTGTAAATTGCACCGGAAGAGACTGCCCCTTTTTTGACCAGCTAGTGAAGTCAGAGTACCTTTGGCTTGGCAGTGCAACTCCTTATCCAGTAGACCATGCAAACTCTTCTGTTCTTGTGGAAACCATAGTATTTTCAATTTTCTTCATCAACACTACAATTTAGAGGCAATTCTGTGGTCTACTTAATTCACTGTCTAACTTTCATATATATAAGAAACAAATGAAAATCCCCTGGCTTGGATCAGACCCATCTTAGTGGCATGCTTGCTCTTTAGTACTTTAAAGAGGTCCTTGACAGCAGATTTTCTGACTGTAATATGAAATTTAACTACTTCTTCAATGGGTTTTAACTGTGGATCTAACTTAAAATTAAATCCTTGACAATTTCAATCTTTTTTACATTTATCATAATGCTGCCTATTGGTCCAGTTATGAGGATTTCTGCTTTTTGCTGAAGTGTAATCCACCTAAGAAGCACAGTTTCAAAACTTCATCAATTAAGTGCTTCAAGGTTGTATTAATCTATGTATTGTAGGATGCTGATGAATCCTAATTCAATCCTGATACCACATTCTAATAGATTCCAATTTTCAAATTTATGAAGCTTACAGACAGGTAAGAATGGTACAAGGATGCAAACTCGATGCACATCTTTCCTCATTTTAAACCGTCCAGTAACCCCTTGTTCTGTCTGGACAAATGCGTCTTGGTCTATGTATAGATTTCAGAGGAACACAAGTATTCTGGAATTCCCACTATTCTCAATATGATCTAGAATTTATAATGATACATACACACACAGAACGCTTTTTGAGTTAAGAATTAGGTTTACTCTGGTGAAGTAGTGGCAAGAAGCTGCACTGAAATCTCAGACGTACATGGTTCAAATCCACCAGATGCTCTACTGGAGAAGGAGGGGCAATCTCCTCCTGTACCAGTCAGATCAGATTTGATGGAACTCGCAACTCCTTTTTTAGAAAAAGAGTTAGATTTACAGGATGACTAATCCTTGCATCTTATTACAGAATTCAAGAAATTACATTCCATATTTAGGAGCTGAGATGGCATGGTAGGGTGTAAGTTACACTGCTAACTGAAATCTACCACAGCGCTGAGGAAGGAAGATGGTCAATCTTCTCCCATAGAGATTTATAGTCCTGGAAACCCAAGGGAAGTCAACTGACTCAACAGCAGTGGGTAACTGTACACACTGTACAAAGAAGCAAAGGGAATGGTCACAGAGCAAAGTTCTGCTATTATTTAAAATTATGATCTAATATTTAATTCTATACAGGCAAGCTTTTCTTTAAAGGCTGAATAAAGACCAAAAAGACTGTTAAAATCAATGACTAAGTTGAAGTCCCAGTATCAGATATAATCAAACAAGATATAAGCCTAATTACGTCTCAATTATTTCAAAATTGACAAAAGGCAATATATGTAACTCAAGGCAAAAACAGATTCATATGAACTATAAGGTTTACGTCCAACTAAAAAATTCTATGAGTCCGTGTATCTCATTACGTATAAGCTACTCAATTTCTTTGAAACCATGTCTTTCATCTATCTAAACTAACCAGGAAAGATGCATAGTAAACCGAAATGCTTTAATTCTACAAATATAAAAGGAACACTCCCACAATGGGAACTTATCTTTTTAATAAGAATGAATTTGTAAAAACAATTAAGACTACAAGAAGAAAATAAATTATCTAAGCCATAGTCAATAGATTTCATTCAAACTATCTCTCTATTCCTTAAATTTCCTTCTATGTGTAAATATCCCATTTTCATCACTTGCTCACATTAGTTTTTGAAACACTATGTGCTTTTTAAAATAGAAAAAGGAGTTAAAAGATAAAAATCATACACAATTTAATTCAATGGTTCTATTTTATTTCTATTATTTGAAATTTCTTATTCAAGAAACAGATTCCTTTTTAAACACTATTTCTTTTTGCTGTAAAGAGAAAAAGTCTTTTCTTTGAAAGAATTGTGTCATGGAGAACAAAATCAAATGCTTTTCCAAGTTAAAACACAGGTATTCCTGAAGTGTCTGGATGGTAATTTGGACAGCAGCAGTCTTTGAGTTAAAGTTTCATAAAAGCTATTGCTAAGACAGTGATCTTGGTCGTTTTGCAGGTGGTCCATCAGAGTTAGTTCTGTTATCAATGTTACGTTCATCTTCTGCATCATCTTCGTCATCACCTTTTAAAATAAATATTTGCTCTATGACAATATATTCAACAGTTCAAAGGAAACAGATTAAAATGGCTGATAGAGAACATTTCAGTTTTGAGATTAATAAGACTATGTATATCAAAGTAAAAATATGCATGATTAAGAAAACTTTAGAAACGTTGATGTAGAATCCAAAAACTCTTTTCTATCACCTTTCTTTTTGGGAGGGGGAGGGGGATAATGAAAATATCACAACACTCACCCTCTGAAAGTGGTTTTAGTATACTCACAAGGTTGTACCATCATCATTACTATCTAATTCTGGCACATTTTCGTCACCTCAAAAAGAAATTCTGTATTAATTATCAGCCATTTCTCATTATTCCCCAAACACCCCATGCAAACACTAATCCATATTCTGTCTTTATGAATTTATTCTGGACTTTTCATATAAAAGGAACCATATAATACGGGCCTTTCATGCCTGGCTTTTTCCATTTAGCATCAAGGTTCATCTGTGTTGCAGCATGCATTGGTATTTCATTTCTATTTTTGTTGCTTAACATTTATTTCACTGTATGGCTATACCCATTCATTACTGAAAGACATTTGTGGTGTTTTCAATTTTTGTCTATTACAAACAATGCTGCTATGAACATCTGTGTACAAGTTTCTATGCAGTATGTTTTCATTTCTCTAAGACCTATGAGAGGCTGGATCATATGGTAACTTTACACCCTATGTGGTGGCGTAGATCATAGGGAACTGCACTGGTAATCTAAAGGCAGTGAGTGCCTCTCTGGCAGCTTGAGTCAATCAGCAGTCCCTTGGAAGAAAAACGGGCAATCTTCTACGGCGTGATTCTGAGCCACTGAAAACTCACTAGAGGGCCAGATATGAGTCAGTTTTGACTCAAATGAAATGAGTTTCAGTCTTATGGTAATTCTGGTTAACTTTTTATAGGAAAGTGGAACTGTTTTCCACAGCAGCATTTAACATTCCCACCAGTAATTTATTAAGGTTCCAATTTTCCCACATTCTAGTATTACCTTTTTTAGCTAATTTTACTATTCTCGACAATATACAGATGAAAATGCATGCCAATTTAAGTTTCTATGCATACAATGACACCAATTACATTCTTCAAGTTCGTCAATCACCCCATCCTCCATTTCTGAGCTGTCCCTCCCTTGTTCGTTGCCCTTAAGAGTCCAAGCTAAATTTTCTAGTTGCTGTGGTGAATTTGATCCTACCACATATAGTTCTTAAAGAGCAGATCCTCCTCCCCTTTTTACTAGTTTCACTAAACTATTTTTTGAACTAGGCTAATCTGCTGTAATGGACTTCTTTAAAGTATAAATAAACAAGATGTCAATTTGAGGATTTAAGGTGCACTCACCGCACAATATTTTCAATTATTTCATATGAATAGCAACGTTAAGCAATAAATAGAGGGAAGAATTGATGCCACAGAACTGTGCTGTTAGCATAAAATACTGAATATACTATGGACTAAAGAATGTACAAATCAGACATGGATGTGCAGTCTGAATGATCCCTGAAGGAATGACAAGACTCAACCCCACACTCTTTGGTCACGTGATTACATGGGGTTTATCTCTGGAGGGCTTTATGCTGGGTAGAGCAGAAAGTCAGCTAAAAAGAGGAAGCCCTTCAATGAGATGAAATAATGCAGTAGCTACAATAATGGGCTCAACTGTAAGGCTGGCACAGGTTGGACAAGCAGTGCTGGATGCTGGGTCCCTAAGTACTGACTTGATGCTAGTAAACAACACTGATTTTAAGATGATTTCCGGGGATATTTCTGGTTTAAGGTTTAAAGAGGTTCTCAGTCCAACAGTTTCAGGGGTTCATTTACTTTCTAAGTTCCATAATGTCTAGAGTCCCAGAATACTTAATACTCTATTCTGCATTTTCATTGTAGTCAAGTTAGAATTGTTCTACAGATATCTTTGATCAAAATATACTGTGAGGACAATAGGGTATCGTTCAGGTGTGGTCTTGTGGCACAGGAGGCAGAAGGGTACACTAAGTGGATTATGAGACCACGTAGCTGGGATGTCCATGAAACCAAAAGCCATGAAGTGTTTGGTTTCACATCAGCAACCCCAACAGCTCCTTTTAAAATATCCAAACATATAATTAACACACAACTTTTGCCATTCACCTTTTTAGATTTGTGCAACTTAATGATAGCAATTTCAATAAATGGCCACCAATTCTACCTATAATCATCTTTTTTTACTATAGCTATCCTTGTGGGTGTTGAGATGAGCTTATTTTCTTCTTAAAACTGTGGTAAATCTTTCAGAAACAAAACATTTGCCATTTCAATAACTTCACCTGTACAGTTCTGTAGCATTAAATATAAATATGCTCATCATGGTTTTCATCCAACAGTATTAAGCACTGGAGGTTCGATTTGCATTTTCTTCAGGCATGATCATAGCCAAAGATGGTGAGGATCTTTTCACAGGTGAGTTTTATTACTTTAGGAAGATTTCAAACACAGACGCTGAGGTTTTTGGTTTTGTTCCCTTTTTTTACAAATTGATAGTCTGTGGCAACTGTGTTCATCAAGTTTTATTGGCACTTTTTTCAAAAGCATGTGCTCATGGGTCTCTGAGTCACATCCTGGCAATTCATAAACTATTTCAAACGTTTTTCATTATGCTATACTTAATAGACTTAATACTTATGCATACTTAATAGACTACATATTGGTATAAACAAACAAAAAAAAATCAGTAAGTCTTGCTTTATCGTAGTGTTCTGGGACCCACAGTATCTCCCAGATATGCTTTTAAATAAAAGCTTGTCCTTCTATACAAAGGTATTACAAACTGGTTACCAACTTTTGCCCTTATAACATTTTAAGCAGATTCCAGCCAAGAAACAGGGCGTCATTCTCAATATATGTGGCAATGGCCAATTAACAGATTGCTGGAAACAATCTCTTCTTGCTAACTCTGGTAGCACATTCTGAATAGACTTCTCCACGTTATCCAGAACCACCACGGCAGAACCAGGGTGGAAAATACTGTTCATGTAGAAGACAAACCCTTGACTCCACCACTTAGTTTTTGTTGTTGTTGCTATGTGCCCTCGAGTGGCCTGCAACTCATAGTGACCCTATGAACAACAGCCCTAAACCCTGCTCTTTCCTAGGCCAGCCTCACCCCCATTACCCCAGTCACTGAATCAATCCATCTCATCCAGGGTCTTCCTCTCCTGTGCTGTGCCTCCATCCTTCCAAGCATGATGTCCCTCTCCAAGGACTGGTCCTCCTTACATGTCCAAAGTACGTCGGACAAAACCTCAAAATCCTTGCCTCCAGGGAACAGCCTGGTTTAACCCTCTCCAGGATGAATCTGTTTGTTCTCCTAGCAGTCCATGGTATATTCAATACTCTTCTCCAGCACCAGAGCTCAAAGGTATCAATTCTCCTTCTACCCTCCTTAGTCACTGTCCAGCTCTCTCATGCATAATAAGTGATTGCAAAGACCACGGCATACCTTAGATTTTTTTTTTAGATCAAAATCTGATTTTGCATTCCAGATAAAATGTTTTTCAAGTTAATGCAGTAAAAACTGCATATTTATGCTCATTTAGATAACATAATTATGATAAAAAGGGGGGAAATATGGGAAGCCAATACTAAATATTTGTAATAAACGCAATGCTACTTAAAAAAAAAACCCGCATATTTTTTACTTCGTAATTCCCAATGCTGGGATGCAAGAGAAAAAAAAAAAAAGAATGGGAGTTAGTTGTTAAGGGTCAACGAGAAGACCACCCGGCGACCCCATGGGCTTCGTTACTAAGGTTCCAATCTTTGGTAGCTGCACTCTACACCTGATTTAACTCCTTTTCATCATCAATGCCCAGCTCACAAGCAGTCACTCCCTCTCTGAAGCTGCTCGAGGTGCGCAGTTTTAGGGGACACTGAGTTTACACTCTTTAAGGGTTTGGCTGGGAGTTGGACGAGGGCATCCCGTTCCCGATTCGTCCTCCCGAGCTCGGGACGGGGCCGGACACTGTATGCGGTCAGCACCTGGAGTGCGGACCAACGAGAAGGAACAGGGCTGTGGAAAGGCTGCAGTAACAATGTCCCGGGAACACACTGCGCCCACCATTCCCATCGGGAAACCGTCTTCCACCGAAGGCAGGCTCCCCTGCCCCACGCCCGCCCCTCCACACACAGATTCTCCCCGGGCGTCTCCGCCCTCCCTCACGGCAGCTCGGAACTCACCATTCAGGTCCTGGCCCGCAGCCGCCGGGTCCTGCGCGTCCCCCGAAACCAGAGGGCCGAGGAGCTCGACCACTCTCTCTCTCATCTGAGCCACACCCGACAACAAGCCCTGCAAAGGGTCAGCACCCGCCGGTGCCTCACACGACACCCGCAGCTGCTGCCGCTGCCCATCCCGCCCGATGTACTCGGCCACTAGCTCCATGGCGACCGCTCAGCTTCAAGCGCGCGCCACAGGAACCTGCCCACCGGAAGCGGAAGTCGGCGCACGGCGAGGCTGGCCGCCCAAGAGACAGGCGTGACATCCGTTTGTGAGGCGTGTCCCCGCCCCTTCCGGCGCGCTTTCCGTGAGCGATTGGTTCCCGGCACTCGGGCCCCGCCTCCTCCGGGTACGCCCTCCGCGGCCGCTTTTCCCGCCTCCTTCGTCCTGAGCCGCAAGTCGGGTGACAGTTGAGGATGGCCGGGGCGGAGGACTCTGCTGAGCGGCAGTCAGAGCTGGAGCCCGTGGTGTCGTTGGTGGATGTGCTGGAGGAAGACGAGGAGCTGGAGAATGAGGCGTGCGCAGTGCTGGGCGGCAGCGACTCCGAGAAGTGTTCTTACTCGCAGGTGGGCGCGCGCCCGGGGCCTCGACTCCCCTCCCGGCCAGATCCCAGTTCCCGCCGCCTCGATCGTCTCCCCCACCCCAGGCTGGCCTGGGACCGCTGTTCGTCTTCCTCCTTCCAGATCCAGCTACCCTTGCATCCCCTCTTGACCCTTCGTCCAGCTTGTGCTCCCAGCTTGTGTCCAGCCTTCCTCCCTCAGTCCTCTGTCCAGCGTGCAGGATTATCCAGGCTTAACCCTGCAGCGGCTGTCGAGTCCATCCCCCAGGGTTTTCTTGGTGGCGGCTTCTCGGGGGACCATCCCGTGACCCCTCAAATCCAGACGTCTTAGTTCCTAAACTCCCGTCTTGTGGGGATTTACTGGGAGCAGAACGATTGTTGTTGGTGCCGTCGAGTTGAGTACGACTCAGTGACCAGCAGATGAGCACCAGATGCCCTGTCCTGTGCTGCCCTTAAGATCTCCGACGTGCCCATTGTTACTCTGTGTCAGTCCATCTCCCGTGAGGGGCTGACCATCCTCTTTTCCCATCATGATGTCTTTTTCCATGGACTGGCCCGCTTTTCCCAAGGACTGAACCAAATAGGTGTAAACCAAATTTAAAATGTTTTTGTTTTTTTTTTTTAAACCTGCTTGGTGGTTTTGTTTTTAGAATATACACAGCGAAACACATATACCAATTCAACCGTTTCTGTGTGTACAGTTCCGTGACATTGCTTCTGTTCTTTGAGCTGTGCAGTCTACTTGTTCTCTGACTTGTTCCTCCTCCATCAAGATAGACTTCACTGCCTCCTGAGTTTCCTGTGCAGTCATTCCACTCACTGTTGACCCATTACATTGACCATAATGTTCAAGGCAGACATTCTTTGCTAGTTCAGCTGAAGTGCCGTTTGGAGGGAGCTCTGGTGGTGTGGTTCAAATCCACCAGCTCTTCTGCAAGAGAAAGATGGTCTCTTTCCTCCTATGCATTTTACTGCTTCTGAAAGCCCACTAGCGGGTCAGCTATGAGTCGATTCGCACTTCATGGTTCGGAACAACAGTACAACATACTTTGGAGTATTTTTGGTTTAAGCTTAGAAGATCACCTCAGAGCAGTAGTTTTAGGGATTCATTCAGCCTCTGTGACCCCCAGAATGTCTGGAGTTCCTGAGGATTTGAAACCTTTTAACCTACACGTTCCCCTTCCGAGTGGGCGTTTTCTACAGAAGCTTTCATCAAAAACCATTAGATAAGGGGAGTTCTGGTGGCCTAGTGGCAAGAAGCTGCACTGCAATCCACTGCATGGTGGCCTAGTGGCAAGAAGCTGCACTGCAATCCACTGCTCCACTGCATGGTTCAAATCCACCAGATGCTCTGCCGGGAAAGGAGGGACAATCTCCTCCTGTACCAGTCAGATCCGATTTGATGGTACACACACACACACACACACACCACACACACACACACACACGCAAAATAATAAAAAAAATTAAAAAAAAACCCATTAGATATTTGTTAGCGGAATCAGAGCAGAGTTTATAAAGTTGTAGATTTGAAAGTCTCCCTGGGTGGGGTTAACTGAAGTGAAGCGAAGCATAATGACATGTCTGCATGGGGTCAGCAACCCTGGAAATAGACTGGGACCAGAACATCAGGTGACACGAGAGAGGGGAAAAGGAGAGGAACTAATTGAAGAGGAAGCTTGGCGTTTGGAAGACGTTGTGACTGAGGGCTTGAGGGAGTGTAATGTTGTGTTTGATGACTCATTCTGTATTTCTAGGTAGAGAAAGGAGAAGGGTGGGTGGGAGGAGGACGCAAAGAGTGAGAGTATGTTGGAGGAAGGTTACCTAGACAGGAGGCTTCTGTGAAACATGGGGATGAAAAGAGGGAGTTGCTATCATTATGTGGTGTGCACCGAGATCATAATACTTGTCATTGTTGACCCAGTTGAATTTGCATCGTAAAGTGGTTGGACTGCTGTTTGAAGCCTTTGGTCTGCACTGAAATAGCTTTCTGCCCCACAGTCCTTTTTTACAAAAAGATTGTCAGTTCCACGGCTCTCTACGCTATTTTTGAAATGCAGTCAGCTTTATAAAAAGGACCTAATTAGAATTTTCTTTTTATTGTGTTATTATAGAATGGTATCTTGTAGAAAAATCATGTGTATGGCTGGGGGGAGAAGGGAGCACACCCATATACACACCACTCAGATCAGGAAATAGAACGTTACTGACACCCCGAATCCTTCCTCCGCATCTTCTCTGTATCTCCCTTCTCCCTAGAAGAGAATAACCATTTCCATGATTTCTAAAAGCATATACGACTTACCTATTTTCTCTTCAGTTTTTTATTTTGAAAGCTTTTTAATTTGCAGGTAAGATTAAAATAGTATGGCCACCTGTTACTCCTTAAGTGGAACCCCCACTGTGGTTAAAATGTGTGCCTGCCTACTGAAAGAAAGGATGGTAGATCAAACTCACCAGCCCTCTGCCTGTGGGCGCAATTGCAGTCTTCCGTAAGGTGTGCAGATTGGGCAGCGCTGTGGGACATTTCTGCTTTTTTTCCACAGGCTCCCTATGTATCTAGTGTGTTTGGTTTGGTTTTAGAAACCCTAGTGGTGCTGTGGTTAAGTGCTTGACTGCTACTTAAAAGGTTGGTGGTTCAAACTGTCCAGCCACTTCACAAGAGAAAGATATGGTAATTTACTTCCATAGTATGCAGTTGGGGAACTGTATAGGTTCTGCTCCCCCCTGTAGAGTTGTTACCTAGGTCAGAATCAATAGGAGTGGGTATACCTCTTAAGTGTTTTCATTATTGCTTTATCTCTTCCTCTCTAGATGATAGAATTTTTCTTTTGTGCTGAAGCATTTGCAGACCTCACACTGTGTCTCCAGGTGCTTGAGCCTACACCCTTAAGGATGTGTTGCTTTCTTCTGTGGTAGAAACAAAAGTATTTTCCACAGTTAAAAGTGTAATGTTGCCTGCGTAACTCTGCACACATTCTTCCTCATTTTCAGGTGTTAAATCAGTAACCAGACCAACTTTTCACAGATGACCGAAAGCTTAAACCTTAACACTTTGAGAAAAAAATGTATGAAAGTTAGTGCCCCTGAGTTTGTGTGTAGATGTCGGTATGAGCGAGCAGCGCTGCTTTGGTCCTCTCTTGAATAAACTGTGATAATCGTCTGGGTAGGTTTTTACAGAACCATCTTCAGTGTATAGATAAGCCGGTTTCATTTCTCAGATCTTTGTAACCATGTAATATTTTCCTTCATTCTCTCTCTCTGCTTCCATTTTGGGACTTTTAGGGCTCGGTAAAGAGACAAGCGCTGTATGCCTGCAGTACCTGCACCCCAGAGGGAGAAGAACCCGCAGGAATTTGCCTGGCCTGCAGTTATGAATGCCATGGGAACCATAAACTGTTTGAACTCTATACAAAAAGGTGAAGCTAGTCAGAACGGCTCCTGAAGGCTGTTCTCCCAGCTCTCCTTCCCCCCTCCCTGCTTGATCTTGTTTGCGTATTAGAAGTAGGTGTGTGTTATAAAGGATTGATTACACATTGTAATAAATTGACCACATTAGTCAATGGTAATTAATGTTACAAAGCAAAAAGTCCATAAATGATTGCATGAAAAATTAATGTGCTTTGTAAACTTTCACAAAAAATAAAAAAAAAAGTAATTGTGTGCCAGTGAAATGCATATTATTTTATGTAATAGAATTGAAGAGGGTGGCTTTTCCAGGCAGCTTCCTCTACCATCCTCTCGCAAACATACATATACATGTTAACACATAGGTCGATATATACTGAGGTGCCCTCCTGCGTGCTAATTTCCAGAACATAAAATCCCCTTTGCTGTTAATGTGCTTGGGGAAGTTCTGAATTGGATATCTGGACAGCCACCAAGGCCACATTTAGATAAGGGAATGGAGTCGGCTATGCTTTGAGCGTCAAGGGTAAACTGTTAGAGTTAAGATTAAAATGAAATTGACTCCTCCTCCTTTGTTTCAGAAATTTTCGTTGTGATTGTGGAAACAGCAAGTTTAAAAATCTGGAATGCAAATTATTTCCTGTAAGTAAGCCCGGTACCAAGCCAGCGTGTAGGAGAGGAGCTGAAGTTGATGGTATCTGCCAGAGTGGGGAAACAGGGGTTTCTCTAAAGGAACTTATTCTTTGCAAATGGTCAAGTCAGTAGTGGGCTGTGTTTTCTTTTTTTACCTTGTTGGGAAACTGTATAACCTATTTAAGGCTTACCATTTAGATTGTAATAAATGTGAAGGATTTGGTTGTGTTTTATGTTCTGAGGCTTTTAAAGCACAGATTATGACTTTTTAAAAACTGGAATATCTAAAGCCTGGTTACTATGATGTGGGCTATATTCACACAGAGTTTTTCACTGATTTTTAGTTAAAAAAATGCTTCTACAGTAACTTTTAATAGAACAACAGCAGTGAAAGGGAAATCAAGAGATGTCACATTGTTCAATCATAATTACTAAAGCTCATGCTTTTTTCCTCCTTTAAAGGTTTTAGACAATTTCCTTGCCAGCCTTTAAGGCGTAAAGAAGATCCCTTGGGTTAATTTCTGTTTACTGGGTTGTTAATGAATGATAGCTGTTGTCTCGTGTTGTTCTCCGCTCCCCTCATTACATTTTCCCCAACTGCACTGAAAAAAAACTAAAAATAAACACATCACAGATTGTTAACAATAGCTATGCCTCAGAGCTGGGAGGCTACAGGAGAGAAGAAACTCTTTTTAAACTCTATCGTCCTGATAGGATTTGTAAAGAGGACCCAACTGGTACACTCTAACCCCGTTTCTTCAAAGAGGCAAGAATTTGAAGATGATTTCCCAAGTGACTCATGGAGGGGAAAGCAGGCAGAGGGAGTAGAAAGATAAAAAAGAAATTTTCTCTTTTACCCATATCCTGAGGAAAGGGTCCATTTGATAGGGTTGGGGTTCCCCCCCCCTTTTACACTTTGAAAGTTAAAGACTAGCGTCGTGTGGGGGTGGGAGGTGGGGGGATACTTTTAAAATATGTATATTTCTTAATGTGTGAGCTTATAGTTAAAATTAGATCATCTTATATTATGGATGTTATCTTTCAGGATAAAGCAAAGGTGAACTCATGCAATAAGTACAATGACAATTTTTTTGGATTATATTGCATCTGCAAGAGACCTTATCCTGATCCTGAAGATGAGGTAAGAGAATGGCACCTTAAAAAGGGGAACTCTCATCTCTGGTTACTCCTCAGTCTTTTGGTTTATCTAGGCTTGGTTAGCGGGGCTTTGGGGCATTGTGAATGGATTCTAAATGTATCCCTTTTTTTGAATCCAGGCTAGTTTTAACTGCTAGAGAGGTGAGTTGTTCTCTCTTACAACACGTGATGGAATTAGCTTTTAACCTAGCATGCTGATTTTCAATTAACATTCCACACCACATGGTTATAACTCTGATCTTAAAAGAGTACAGTAGTTTTACTGGTTGACAAAAACATTAGAGGCATCTTTTCCTGAATTATGCATTTTGTTTATCAGTCTCTTTCAGTACCCGCTTCAGATAGGAATCCTAGTGAAATCAGTATTTTGGTTTTGGGTTTTTTTAATTTTATATTGGTTTGCTTACAAAGTTCGTATACATTGTGTTTCACACTATTCTTCATTCGCTTTGTGTTTCATATAATCATTCCCATGCATTATGTTTTATAAAATTAATCACCATTGAGTTTTGGATAGCATTGCTTTATGTGGTTTTCAGGAAGAGAGTATTGCTACTGAGAACATGTGAAGTGCGTAGCAAAGCTCATGGAGATGCTAATTGGAGATACTTACTCAATGAGATAGGCTTAACTGCCATTTAAGAAAGTATTATGGTGAATCACCTGTGTGATTGATTATGTCTTGCATGAAAAGGAAGACAGGAAAACCCACATTGACTGGGTGTCTAGTAAGGTTGACTGGGTGTCTAGTAAGGAGGAAAGTAACAAAGACTAACAATGAAGAGAAACCAAACCTAGCAGAGTGGCCCCCAAAAAATCACAACTGGACAAAGACAGAACTGCAGAGGATGTGCTTCGGGGACCTGAGAACATAAACAAAGTACTTGATGTAGTTGTTGTTATGCACATTGAATCAGAACCGACCCATAGCTGATCCTCTAGTCGGTTTTCTGAGGCTGTAAGCCCCAAGAGAAGAGATCAGCTATCTTTCTATCATCGAGCCACTGTTTTTTGGAGCTGCACGCCTTCAGGTAGGGAGCACGGCTCCTTACCACTAGGCCAGCAGAGCTGTGGAGCAGAAGGCAGTTGGATAAATTGAGAAATGGCATTGTTATTTTAGCATAAATCTAATTGTAGTTGTTGTTACGTGCCATTGAGTTGACTATGACTCATAGTGACCCTGTGCACAGTAACTCTGAATCCTGCTCTAGTCGGAGCCACTCTATCTCCTTATTACCCCCAGTTACTGTGTCAATCTATCTCATCCGGGATCTTCCTCCACCCTTCCAAGCATGATGCCCTTCTCCAAAAACTAGTCACTCCTGGTGACATGCCCAAATTATGTGAGATGGAGTTTTAAAATCATTGGTTCTGAGGAGCAGCTTGATTTCACCCTCTTCAGGACAGACTTGCCAGTTTTCTGGGTAGTCCATGATAATATTCAATACTCTTCTCTAGCACCACAACTCAAAGATAATCAATTTTTCTTCTGTCATTCTTAGTCATTATCCACCTTTATGATGCATATAGCAAGTAATTGTGAAGACCATGGCTTGAATCAGGCACACTTCATTATCTCGGCTGAAATCCTTATTCTTCAGCACTCTGGAGGGGCCCCTGACAACAGAGTTTCCCAGTGCAGTTCTTCTTTTGATTTCCTGGCCGCTGGTACCGAGATTGTTAATTGTGGAGCCAAACAAACTAAAACTGCTAACAATCTCAATTTCTTCACTATTTATCATGATGCTGCCAGTTGTCCCAGTGGTGAGAAACGTTGGTTCTTGATACTGAATTTCAATCTGTATTGAGGTCTGTAGTCCTTGACTTTCTACAGCAAGTGCTTCAGGTCCTCTTCACTTTCAGCAAGCAGGGTTGTGTCATCTGCATAACGCAGGTTGTTAGTCTTCCTCCAATCCTGATTCCTCCTCATACAGCCAACCTCCCAATGATCTGTTCTCCATATTGATTGTAAAGGTATGGAGATAGGATATGTCCCTGGCATATACCCTTCCTGATTTTGAACTATGCAGTGTTTCCTTACCCTGTACTGATGACTATCTCCTGGTCAAAGTACAGATTTCACATAAGCACAATCAAACGTTCTAGGATACCCATTCTTCTCATAGTTAGTCACAGTTTGTTATGATCCACACAGTCAGATGCCTTTGCATAGTCAATGAAACACAGATAGACATTCCTCTGGTACTCTCTCTGTTTTCAGCCAAGATCCATCTAACATTAGCTATAATATCCCTAGTACCATGACCTCTTCTATACCCAGCCTGCACATCTGGCAGTTCTCTGTTGATGTGCTGTTCCAGTAGTTTTTGGATAATTTTCAGCAGAATCTTGCTTGCATGTGATATTAATGATAGTGTTTGATAATTGCCACACTCTGGCGAGTCACATTTCTTTGGAAGATAGAAGGCAAGTAGGCAAATCAGTGTTCACCTTTTCAGTATATGGGTTTCAAAGTTATCCTTGTAAGAATCCAAAGAGTAACTTCAGTAAGGAGGGATTCTGGTTACTTATAGAGGAAATCAGTAGATAGTGTACAGATGTACACTAACAGTTACTCAGAACAAATTCTATTCTCTGTGATAACCAGAATGTGAAATCAGTAAATAGTGTACAAATGTACACTAACATTTACTCAGAACAAATTCTGTTTTCTGTGATAACCTCTCCGAAGACACACTTCATGTCTGTCTTGCTTTCTCTAGAGCTTGGAATTTAGTTGGCGCTCAGTAAATAAGTCAAATTACCCATACATAAAGTGTAGTAAAATTTTTGAAAAATAAGTTTGTTTCTAGGGAGCATCAATGAGAAATCTCTTTCAGAAAATGAGGCAATTTTAATGTAAGAGAGTAAGATAGCTACCAATAAATATAACCAGAAACTTAAAGGAATTAAACCATGAAAAGTATAAAACACTCCTGAAATGAATTGAAGAAGACAAATAAATAGAAATATGTTCTATATCCAGGGATTGAAAAGTTTGTTATTGTGCCAGTACCACCCAGAGTGTCTGTAGATGGAGCACAATCCTGATCAAAAGTCCAACAGCAATAGGAGAACCGATCCTCAACTTTATATAGCAAAGAGGCCCCGAAAAGTTCTTTCCACAGTGTTGAACAAGAGAACTCCTTAGTGCTCACACCTCCTGATCTTGAAATTTTGCTTTACAGCTACAGTAACAAAACATCCTGGTACTGGTAAAACAACATACAGCTAGGCCAGTTTAAAAGAATTTAGAGTCCTGAAATAAACTAACACGTACATGGTCAACTGATTTTTGACATGGGTATTAAGAAGACTCTCCTCGATAAATGGTGCTAGGAACATTGGATTTCCACCTGCACAAAGGTGAAACAGGATCCATGCCTATCACTATACTCAAAAGCAAATTCAGTACAACCATAGTTAGAAGAATAAGCAGGGCAGCTCTGTCAGTCTTAGCTCTCAACAGTGGATTATCTACTGTAATAAAAATCACAAACATCAAAAGACACAAACTAACCAAAATAGACCCTCATAAAATGTTATCCATCAAGACATTTACTAAGATTGCAAAAACTCACTATCTACTGGGAGAATTCTTTGAAAATTATGTATTTTATGAGTACCTTATAGTAAACTGTGACAACAACGACAAAAAAATAACAAAAAAAAGGTGCTGTGTCACCAGCCATCAGAGAGGTGCAAGTCAAAACCACTGTGAAATGTCATTTCACTTCCTAAGACAGCTAAGATGGGAGAAAAAAAAACCCAAACAGAAAATGACTAATGCTGGAGAAAACATAGGGAGTTTGGAACCATGACCTTTTCTGATGGAATGCCTTCTAGGACAGCTTTTGTGGAAAGCTTTATAGTGGTTCCTCAAAAAATTAAAATGAGAACAAAATGTGACCCAGAAATTTCATTCCTAAAGGAATACCCACATTACTTGAAAACAGGCTCAAAGAAGCTTGTATACCAGTGTTGACAGTAGCCAAAAGGAAACAGCCTAAATGCCCGTTAATGAATGGCTAAACAAAATGTGGTGGATACAATGAGGTACTCCTGCTCCAGCCGTGGTCCATGCTGCTGAATAGGGAGAAGTTGAAGACATGCTGAGCAAAATAAGCTCCAAAGGAGAACTGCCCCGAGGCCTCCTTAAGTGCAGCCCGAGAGCTCCTTAGAAGTGTGGGTGGTGTCAGGCTGTGGTACTGAGGGTCACTGAGTTGGAGTCAACTTTATGACACAGCATTTTATGTGAAAAGACAAGAAAATGAAAATGTTTAGGGATCTGAGTTTGTGTTTCCAGAGGTGGGAAAGGAGGCAAAGCAATATTAATAGTGATAAAAAAAAAAAAATAAAATCCTGTTGATTAAAGTTAAGGTTGCACAGCCTATTGTTACAATTGCTTTCAGGAAGGTGTACACCTATAAAAAGTTGTATAGTACGTTTTTCTTCTTTTCCGCCCTAAGATCAGCCATCTTACGGGACTTAGTTCTTCGGTGATTTGGTGTTATTATTTCAGGACATACTAGTTTACTGACCCGATAGCACGCTTGAGTTCCACCCTAGTTTCTTGTGTAGCGTCTGGGTTGTAAAACCTTACAAGCCGCCATCCAAGGCTCAGTGACCATCTGGAACTGAAACAATTGCTGAGTTGATCTTCACACTTAAACCAAAATAGCTGCCAAAATCTTCTTAAAATGAAACAAAAGCTTAACTAACTAGTAAGATAAAAAAGATCAACTTTGACCAGTATTGCTTTTTAAAAACCTATGTGTAAGGAGCTCTGGTGGCCTTGTGGCAAGAAGCTGTACTGCAATCCTGAAGGCACATGGTTCGAATCCACCAGATGCTCTGCTGAAGGATAGGCAGTCTCCTTCTGTGCTAGTCAGATCCAACTCAATACACAACAAGAAAGGGGGGAAAAGTCCATTTTTTTTGAAAAATCCACAAGCCTATGCGTTTGGGAACAAATTGGCAGCAATAACTGACAAGATTGGCTAGGAAGCTTAGAGGTAGTGAGTTTATGTTAATGAGAAACTCAGAAAATGAGAGAGGGTGTCACAACTCGAATGTTCAGCGTCATTAGATTATGCATGCAGGAACTGTGGAAGGGGTACATGTTTTGTTGTGAATGTTCTCAACAACAAAATAAGAAAGTCAAAAGGATTGAATCTGTAACAGGATGTGGTAGTATTTCTTCCACCAACACACTCGTTACCCCCATGTGTGATTAGCCTTTTAATACTCTGCAAGTCTGAGAAGCAAATACCAGTATCTGATTTTTGTTTCCCTGATGATGAGTGAGACTGTGCATTTTCTTTTTCCTTCAGCTTACTGGGTGTTGTGATAACCTCCATTCTGAAGTTTTATTCCACACTCTTGTCCCATGTTTTGATTAAGCTGGGTTTTGTTTGTTTGAGTGCCTGATCCAAAAGGATAATTATATTTAGAGAATTCAGCCTTCCTCCTGGCTTCCAGATTTGAGCTGAAACTGCAGTTTGTGAATCCAGTTACATGGAAGAGAAGGACATCATGATTGGAAGGGTGGAGGGTCCGCGCAGAAGAGGAAGACCCTGGATGAGAGAGATTGACACAGTGACTGGCAGTGGGGGCAGGTGTGTCGGCGACAGTGAGATTGGCTCAGTACAGGACAGGGTTCAGAGCTATCGTTCATAAGGTCACTGTGAGTCATTGTTGACTCGATGGCACATACAATAACAACATCTTGGAGTTAAGCATAAAACTAAATCTGAGTGTCGGGAAGGTTAAGGCAAAGTTTTGTTTATAATACTGTTGGGCCACAAGACAGAAGAATATACAGGAATGAATAAATCAACCAGGGCAACAAACGACCATAGGAAAAGGACAGAGCATCATTGGAATGTTAATCAGCCGTGAAATCCTCAAAATAAAAGCAAAGCTTTTCCAAAAATTTTTCCGAAGATCATTTTTCCTTGGTTAGCATTTAACTGCTTAATTCAAATAAAAGAAGTTGGTGCTATCCATATTATCAAGAAAAGTTTTCTAGAATTCCTTTTTCTGTTTTGGCAGAATAGATGATATGGTAAAAATACCCCGTTGTCAAATCATTTTTCCTCCCAGAACCTTGGTTTATGTATAAAGCGGGACAATGAGAATAGCCTACTTACAGAGTGTTAACGGGGAGACGTTCGGTAACTGATGAGAAAGTACTTTGCAATTAGTCTCGGTGTGACGCTTATGTAATGCCAGCTCATGGAGAACAGGCTTCATGGCCCTCGGATCCTCTGTGTCTGTTTCTCACCATCACTGTGACTGCTCGTGTGCAGAGAGGGCTCACAGAGCTGGTGGAGAAGTGTTTCACACCTGCCCTTACTGCGTGCCACAGTTACTACGATGTCCCAGCAGTCAGTGCAGCCGTGAGCCGACAGCCCACTTTGCTTTTCTGTGTTAGGTTCCTGACGAGATGATCCAGTGCGTGGTCTGTGAAGACTGGTTCCACGGAAGGGTGAGAAAAGTGGCTTCTGCCTTCTTTGTTTAAAAAATTTGTTTTTCTTTTTTTAATTAATTGTAATGGAAGTGTACAGAGACTTAGGGTTTCCAGTCATTCATTGTTGCACTTTTCTCCATGCCCACTCCTTCTCCCTCCAATTCACTCTTTTCCTTGAAAAGAAAGAAAAACTCTTTCATTGTTATGAAATCCCTCCCTCCACCCCGTCGACTCCACTGTGCAGCCTTCGCTCTGAACGTCTCTAATGACAAGAATACCCAGTCATTTGTCCCTTCTAAACAGTTCTCTCCCTCATCTGTTTCAATGCAATATACATCATTCCTCCCCTCCATTTCTGTCTTCCGTCAACCCCGATGTCAGACCCATTTTACAACAGTGGCCCTATGCAATATTTGTCCTTTTGTGACTGAGATATTTCACTCAGCATAAGGTCCTCCAGGGTCACCCATTTTGCATAATATTTCATGAGTTCCTTGTTTTTCAATGCAGCATAGTGTTCCATTGTTTGAATATACAACAGCTTCTCTGTCCATTTGTTTGTTGATGGGCACTTAGGTTGTTTCCAGCTCCTTGCTATTGTGAACAAAGCTGCGATAAACTTTGCTTTTATGAAAAGTGAGAGGATTTCCCCCTTTTTAATTAGATCTTCTATTATGTATCCTAACCACTCTGCTACAAATGAAAAGGTTTTTGTGCAAGAAGCCCTGATGGTACAGTGCTTAGAGCACATGGTGCCACCCAGCAGCTGCTCTGCGGGAGGAAGGGGTGGCAGTGTGCTTCAGGAGAGACTGGCAGTCTTGCAACCCTAGGGGGCAGTTCTCCTCTGGCCTGCAGGGTCGCTGTGAGCTGGAATTTACATCGGGTATTGCAATATTTTTAAATAAAATAATGGGCCTTGGAACAACTTGGAAATGACCAGTAGAATGGCCTGCTTTCTGTGTTTTGACAGCATCTTGGTGCCACACCCCCTGAGAGTGGGGATTTCCAGGAGATGGTGTGCCAGGCATGCATGAAGCGGTGCTCCTTCCTGTGGGCCTACGCGGCACAGCTGGCAGGTAGGCATTGGATGTGCGCGCCACCCACTCAGGCGTGTGAGATTGCCCGGTTCAGCCCAGAGTCTGTAGGAGCGATTCTGAGATCCCAGACGAAGCTAGATGTGTGCCTTCTCTACCTGGTGTTTGTAGAGTGGATGGGAGACAGACTGCTGAGCACAGACATGTACTTGAATGGCATGGTGCATGCCCGGGGAGGGTGGATGCATGGATGGATGGATGAGTGGGTGGGTGGGTGGATGGATGGATGGATGAGTGGGTGGATGGATGGATGGGTGGGTGGATGGATGGTTGGATGGGAAGGTGGGTGGGTGGATGAATGGATGGATGGATGGATGGATGGATGG